ACCCCCCCCCAGACTGTGAATGCAGAAACAGAGCTTACAACTCACCATTATTTATGGTTTATTAACTAACTAATTATGTCTTATTAGTGGGTTTAAACTCAACACCAGCACCACAAGAAACACCTCCCCACAAAGACTGTATTTTAGGAGAGAAACAGTCAGATAACGTTTGACAGAGTGATAAAAGAACCAACTAATTCAAGCCTCCACAAAGCAAAGTACCCTCCTCGAGTTTGCACTTCAGGGTTTTGTACAAGCACGAGCTCTTCAGGAGCAATGTTTAGCTTTACAACTCATCCATCATTCCTTCCTCTCTATTGATCCATTTATCAGTCACATCCAGGTATTTTGGACTGCTTCAGAGGCTCCAAATAAACACAGGAAATTGTTCTTGGGTTTATATCGATACCAGAGTAATTTAGATCACGTTTAGCACAGCCCTCAAGCCTTCCCAAGGAATAACTGATTGGATTCAAGCACGCTGAAAGCACATATATGTTGTCTGAATTATTTCCACATGCCTTCAGACCCAGAAATCCTGTATTTAAACAAGCAGAAAAAGGAAACATTGGAGGTGGGTGTTAATTACTCCTATTTACAGGCTTTTTAGCAGTTTCCCATATTGGTTTAAACAGAAGCTGTATCTTATTTTCAGTAATTCAAAAATCAAGGCAAGAGACAGAAATTCATCAGAAAAATCAGAGATTACTTTTCCAGAATATAAAAGAAAATGCAGCTTACACATCTCAGGCATCAGCTTTTAGATCTATCCTTTATCTTCCTAAGGCAAATATGATGATCAATCTTTAAAAATTCCTGAAATATTCACCCAAAAACCTCCTCTTAATCTTCAGCTGTTCAAGGATTCTGCAGTTTTCAAAAGAACTCTTAAGCACAGGACATTTTGGGGTTTGAAGCACTCAGTGTTAAAGGCATGAAAAATATCACTCAAAATGTTTAAAAGGGATTTCAAAGCTTGACCCAAGTTGATAACCTTGGTTAAGATTTTCATTTCTGGATATTTAAGATAAAACTGCTGAGGACTTACAGAGAGGAGAAACCAGTTTCACAGCAGCATTTTAAGTTGTGATAAAACTCCTAAATATAAATGCCCAAAGCCAATGTGCCAGAATGTTCATTGGGTATTTTTTAAAGGAAGGCACAAGGAATGATCTTAAACCTATATTTAAGCTCTACACAAGAGGCAGTTCAATATTTAGAGAGATCTGAAGGAAGCCTTGTTTTCTTCAGATCATCTTTCTTCAGCTTTGGAGGAAGAAGTGCTAATTTCCATTCTTCCCCATTTTCTGATATGCTTTAGGATTCATGGTGGATGTGGGAAAAGAAATTATTTGACCTCTTGAACAGAAGGCAAAGGGGAAGTGGGAGGGTCATGTCTGGAGAGAGATCTCTGCCCCCTAAAAATACTCAAAACACTGTCACTGTTATGGGGCCTCAGGCCAATTTCCCAGGGCCAAACCTGGCAGCTGCCAGAGAGGTTTATTGTGAAATGAAACAAGGAAGAGTATTCTTGGCATAATCTTATAGAACCTCTTCTTATTCTTGCAGTGAAAGGCAGGAAAAGTCCATCTGATGATCCATCAGATCATTTACAGATGGAGTCAGAAAAACAAAAAATTTGTGTCAATATGAGCAACACTCCCCAAACTGGATGAACTCGATTAGAAATAAAAACAGCTTGTTGAAATCATCATTCTAGGATGCTTTTAAATACCTCTAACATAATTGTTACCATACTGCAAAGAAGTTCCTTAGGAGCTGCCTATTGATCCCTCACACTGGCAAGTTGCTGTTCAGATAAAATTTCATACCCACTGTTGGTACTTTCACAGAGAATGCTGAACACGTTTTTAAAAATTATTTTGTGCACAGGAGGCTGCTCCGTGCCCTGGGAATGCCAGTGGATCCCTGAGTGGTGACACTCCCTGAGGCACAGAGGTGACAAGGACACAAGGAGGGAAATGTCTCCCCAAGCACAGCCTTGCACCCAATGCCTCTTCAATGCAAGCTGAAAGCAAACTGCTCCAGCTGATAATTAAAAAATAGAAACCAAACAGTTAAGGCCTGTCTGATTAATTGCTCTACTTAGCTAATTTGATAAGCCCTCCATCAGTTTTCCATGCCTCCTTCATTGGCTTGATCTACTTTGTAAATTAATCTAATTATGAACACCTGCAATCCAAAGCCCCATCTCTGCAGAAGTTCCACATCTCTTATTTATAGACAGCAGTTCCTAAAGGTCAGCTCCGAGCCCCATCCTGCCAAAAAAAGCCTTTTTGGGCTCTGAGGAAGGGACACAGCAAGGGGAATATGCAGTGGAGGAACCTCTCCTGCCTCAGCAACAGAAACTGTGCTCTACAAGAAAAATCAAATAAAAATTGACAGCAGACAAAGGTGACAAACGAGTCCAGGTCACCACAGTCCCCACAGGCACACACCAGGAGGGGAACGATGATGGCAGCTCCAATTCAGGGTGCCAAGGGATGTCCAGAGAAACCAGGGACTGCACAAAGGAAGTGCCTTGGCTTTAAACCACACCCCAGGAACCTGATCCACCTGTTCATAACAGTTCAGCATCACCTGGAGCCAGTGCATGGTAGATAATAAAAGATTAACTGTGTGTTGATGGTGTAGATGTGTGGTTTACCCTTGATTCCCTGAAAAGCCATTTCTATTGGCACCAGCTCTCCACACAGGACACAACTCTGCCAAGAGAATCCAGTCACAAAACTTGTGCTGCACTATTTTCAAAAGTATGGTAACTGATTTTAAACCAATTGCACTGATAGTTTTAATTGATCTCTGTGATTGATGCTTCATCCTCATTAATTATTGTGAATATAAATTCGAAACAAAAGGAAGCTCCAAGCAGTTTTATCTGGCTATAAAGATTTCTTGCCATTGGATTTGCAATTCCTCTTCACAAATTATTTTGTGGGCAGAATTTTTAATACTCTGTTTTAATCATAATTTTCTTCCTCTCAACATCATAAAATGATTTTTTTCCATCAAAATCAGAAAAAGTTACAGTTCAATTCATCTGGGGGTTTGTGCTAGCCTTGATAAAATGTATTTTTAAAAGACAAACAATAACACAGTCAGATTTGCCTGACTCAAAAGCAATTTGCATTAGTAAAATTTAACTGTAAGCCCTTGAGATGAAAACAGTTTATTGTATTTGGTATAAAAAATATTTTAGCTGAGCAATGCCAAGCTTGGGGCCTTCTGCAGTAATTGTGGCAAGACAAATTAGGAAGCTGTGCTTCAGAGAACATCTGCAGAGCTTGCAGGGGATCCCTGCTAGAGGGACTCCAAAATGAAGGACACTCCTATCCTACCTCAAAATACTGGTCTAATATTTTAAACCTGAGAATATGAGGAAGTCAGGTTATTAATGGAACCATTAACTGTCTCTGTGGGGCTCCCAGATTCATTAAATTCAGAGTCAGTGCTAGATCCTCACAGCCTTTGCAAACCTCCAGCAAGCACCTGCAGAACTGCTCCAAATATCACCATGTTGTACAGCACACTGAGGAAAAAACTCATGCATTACACAGAAAAGCTGCTAGAAAGTCAGAAAAGTACAGGAAACAACACCAAAAAAAAATTTTAAAAAATGGGAAATAAAGAAATGTTGGCATTAAAAGGCCTGACAGATGTTAAGCTTTTGTTCTTGCATCATGTCTCGCTGCAGAGCGCTGAGTAATTAAATGTGATGTGCAAATGAGCAAGGGCTTGTCCTTGTCACACCCTCAAAGCTGCCCAGAACCCTTCAGCACAAGGAAAAGCACTGCCCTGGGAAGGGGGATCATTACTGAAACTCCAGTGGATACCCAGGGGTGGAACACTTTCCTCCAGGGAGCTGCAGCACATTTCTGACTCAGAAATGCTCAGCTGATCGTGTCTATTGATACCCAAAGAGCTTAATAAGGCAGATTTCCAATGGCTGACTCAACTGGGGTGAACTATGGAAGAAGATTAAAAATCTGTGTCCCTTAAAGCCTTGGCCACTCCTCTGACATCCCTAATCCCATCAGCCAGGGAAAGCTGTTTATTAACTTCTCAGAGGTGGAGGTCATCAAGAAGCTCAAACATCCTGAAGCAGCCAAGGGAGAACTTAGAAGAAAAAAAAAAAAAAGAAAAATGGAGGAAAAAAAAGAAAAAAGTAACAGTGGAACCACAAGAGGATTACCTACTTCAAGTCAAAAGCATGAGGGAAAATAATCCATTGTAAAATAGGTATCAGTATACCCAGAAACACAGAAATGGTTTGCTACTTAACCCCTCAAAAAAAAAAACCAAACAAAAAAAAAACCACAGTAGGAAACCATAAACCATGTGATAAATGTGAGGCTTAATCCCAAAAGCTGGTTTATTTTCATACCATAATAAAAGGGGTAATTTGCTAATATTTGGAGGAGAAGGGAAAGAGAAGGAACACGTTCTGTTGAGGAGCAGCACAGGGGCTTCTTCTGCCTATACCAAATGAGTTTGTGAAATATATTTAACTCAGTTATTTTAAGAAGTGCCAAAAAGTTGGCAACCACAGAGAATTCCTAAGCAGAGCTAAAGAGCCTGAGGACTTGGAACCAGGACAAAACAGGATTCACTGGACCCAGGCTGGGCATTTTGTGCTGCTGTCTGAAGAAATCAGTGGCATCAGAATTCCTGCCAGTCCCCACTGAGGAGATCTACAAACTACAGAACTGGCCCCACCCTATTCTGCCTGCAATTTTGACCATGACCACTGAAATTTTGAGGCCATTATCAGATCCTTTACAGGTTCTTAAAACTCATTTTGCACCAGATGTTGTAGAAAACTGGAGATTTGTCAACAATTCAGGAAAAAACAAAGACTAAGCTCGTGTCCATGTGTTTATGATGATTTCAAATGATTGATTGCTAAAATAACATGATATCCCCTTGACAGAATAATCCCTGGAATGGCAATGTAGATAAAAGGAGGAAATCAGGCTCACCATGAACATAGCCCACCAGGAAATGAGACCTTCGTGTCACAGCATGCAAGACCTGATAAAAACAAAGGAAAAACCAGTTCATATTTTGGAAATTTAAATTATGAATGTAAAATCAAAGAAAAAGGCAGTTCAATCACTGAAAAGCAGCTGGTTTCATTTAAATCCAAATGGGTTTATTGCACAATTAATGAAATTAAGCTCATCTCTTCTGTGTTATTCCAGAACAGAAAATTTAGAAGTGACTCTTAAAAAAAATGAAGTCCTACACACCTTCAACAAATAAAATATAACACACCTTCCAATAGAACTGAAGCACTAAATATTGCCTAATTCCAGAGAAATCAAACTACTAATGCACACAAAAGCTATCATACTCGTTGCCAATTATAATTATTTTGTAGTAGCATTCAAGTCTACAAATATTCAACTGATGACCTCAATTTGACTTAGAATCAAATATCTTGAAGGGGAAGTGTTTACTAAATAAATACATGCATGAATCTGGGCACATGAAAGTTTTCTTCTCCTCCTTTTGGAGGTGCAAACAAACACCTCCTCCAAGAACTACATCAGGACAAACACACGGGTGTCACAAATCTAATGCCGGGACAACATTTTCAACAAAGGATCTATTTCAACCCCTTCTGGGGGTGATTTTAAGTGAGCAGAGACAGAATCCTGAGCGCAGCCCATCCATCAGGACACAGCTTGCCAAGTAATCAGTCAAACACAGCCCCTGAGCTGCCCAGGGAACAGCTCCTAAACCAGCAGATTGATGTGGGAGCACAGCAGTGCCCTCCAAAAGCTTCAGGACACAGGGATTCAACAGCAATTCCCCTCCTAACTCCTCAAAGCACTTCAGAGCATCACAGAGGGATGCACGAACAGAATGGATGTGGTGCTGTTAAAAGCCAAAAAGAAATTCCTGGAGTCGCCAGGTTCTGCTGCACAACTGCTCAGTCGGAAATTAAAAGGACAACACGACTTCTTTGGGAGACAAAGATGAGTTAGAGACGTGACACATCATGAATTGAAATGAAATCTGGCCAAAAAGAAAAAAAAAAGGGGGGGGGGAACCTTAACCCACTTGATTGAAGCGCCATGTAAGCACTACAAGGGATAAAAATACCTCTCTGCCATCCCAAGCTGACAGAAGTTCTTGCAGGAGTTCCAAGCCAAACATCTTGTTCCACCACCTGGGCTACCAACATCCCTTTGGCACATTTATTCCAGAGACTCCCCATTGAGGGAATGCATGCAAACAGCTGAAATCCAGAGCTCTCTCACGCTGAACATCACACAGTGCCAGAGCTGAGCAAAAAGCAAGTCCATCTTCTCCAGGAGGTGACAATGCAATGTCACCAGCCCCGAAAACCAGCAGGTAACTCCAGGAATCAAAGAGCAAACAAGGAGACACAGCAGGGGGAAGCAGCCAAATGCCAGAGCTTTGGGGTACAGCAAGGCAGAAGCAGAGGGGCTGGAACTGGAGCAAAGCCAAAGAAATGAGTGAGGAGGGGACTCCCAGCAGGACCGATGCCGGCAGGGATGGAACACTTGGCTCTGTCCTAAATCCCACTTCCAGCACTTCCTCTTGGAGGCCTAAGCTGTAAAAACTGTTTGAGCCCAGCAGTAAAAGCGTGTCCTTAAACCTCCTGCCTCCCTTTGCCTCAGCAGTAAAGTTGTCCCACTTCTGTGAGATTGATTTTGAGTATAAATTCAGAGGATAACATAAAAGTGCTCAAACACTGGGGTGATAAATTAAAATAAATGTCTCATCGGTATTCTCACTATATTTCTCTGACTTTATAAAGACTCAACATTTTCAGCCTGGGAAGGATAACAAAACTAGAGTCCAGGAGTAATCAATGCTAATTTTAAAATGCATTTTTACTTTAATCAGGAATTACTTAAACCTCGGCCAGATCAATATTTATTTATTCTTTCATCTGGCTTTCCCAGAGTTTTAGAAAATTATAGTTGTCAAAGGTACTGCATAGTGCTGTAAAATTCCCTGTGAAGGAGTTTGATGTAAGAAAGTCAGTCACTCATGAAAAAAATTAAAGTCATACAAAATTTATAGTTAAATAAAAACCTTTGTGCTTCATTCATTTCCCTAAATAGCTTAAACCCGGGCTGGAGCAGAAATTCAGTGTGCCTGTAAATCAGTCATTTGCTGTAGCTGCCTAAAAATATGAATAACCATAAAGAAATGGATCATCAAAGAATTTGCTAGAAAGAAAATATTCTTAGTGATTTTTAACACTGGTTTTGATGAGGGAAAGGTTTCACCTTTCCAAAGTGAAAGTGGAATTATAACAAAATAGATGAGTTCCCATTTATCCAATATCCAAAAACCTGGATGTCACAGAGGTGGCAATGGTGGCTCCTCATCAACAAACCCAGTTCCTGTGAAAAGGAAAATAAATTCTCCTTGGGGTATAAGGGCATGGGGGAAACTTGATTAAGTATTACAAGAACCTTCTAAAAAGGGAGGGAAATAAAAGGATCATTTCTTCTGTCAGTAAACTCTGGGATGCTCAGCTGCTGCCAAACATCCTGGGACCTTTTTATTTACTTTAAAAATAAATTCACAGATACTTCTCTTGATATTTGGGGCTGCTGAAGTGGTTTACAAAGCAAGGCAGGGCAGTTCCAGCCTCTCCCAGCCCAGAGCTGCACAACCCATCACCACTTCTCACAAGTGAGACAAGAACAGAACTACAATAGCTCCAAGTTGAATCTGATGGCGATTGTTAGCTCTTATTTTTTAAATGCTGATGGACCAACGTCCAGCAAGTATTTTATCACCTCTTAAAAACCCCAGGTGTAATGCTGCAGTTAAACGTTTCAAGTCAATTTTGTGCTGCTGAAAGGGTATCATTTCCCCAGGATTCCGTGGCAATTAGGAGCAGCACTCAGTAGGGCTATTTTTAGCAAGTGCACCTCATTCACACATTTCACAGTTCTGCTCAGGGATCACTGATCTATATGCATGACTGCAGTGATAAAATCTGGCAACACTCTTTAATAACTGTTTAAATGTTCTAGGCGTGTTTCGAGCAACGTACAATTATTCCAACACCTAAAAAGAGCTTTTCCACTTGCAGGATTTTCCACTACTCAGTATGTGCACCCTTGCAGTCGGATAGTTAAGATTTTCCATTATTTCCTTTCTTTGATTTACACCTTTTCAGCCAGTGGACAAAGAAGGTGTCCCTGCCCATGGAAGGGGGCTGGAACTGGATGGTCTTAAAGGTCCCTTTCAACCCAAACTATTCTGATTACAAAAAATGGGATTTGCAAAGGCTGCAATGAGAGATTCTTATCCCAATTCATGAGGATACAGCTGAAAAATACGTCGTTCATCAGCATATATTTATATAAATATTGAGAACGATCACCGTAAGATCTTCAGGATTTTGTTAAATTTTAGTGAGCATCAGTATTTGGCATGACACTGAACAAAGCCAAAATTAAAACTGTAGCTCGGTCAGGTTTGTGTTTTTCAATTTACAACAAATCCCAGTAACATGTTCACTGCATCACCACTGATGATTTCTTTCTGCTTTCTAAATGTCCTCAAATGCTGCTGCTGAACAAAACAAATTGAATTTATTCAAATTAGCATGGATGGAGATCTTGAATCCAGCACAGCACTTGTGTTAATATAAAAGGTGGCAGAGCTTTGGGATAAATAAAAGTCAGCTGTGTTAGGACATCTCCAGGAGGAGAAGTGTCCTGCTGGTCATGCATCCATCCTCAAAACCCTGCTCCACTTGGCTCTGGCATCCCAGGACAAAGTTTACTAATGTTTGAAGATGGAATAAGTGTGGCATTGGCAAACAGCCCATCATGAACTGTCCAGCTGCAATTCAAGCTGGTGGAGAAATGAAATCACAACAGCTGAAAGCCAGAGATGAGATAACAGGAGAGAAACCACAGTGATACTTGGGAAATGCATCAGAAATGATGCATGGAAGGAAGAGAAATCCCTGCTTTTTAATTAAATGGTCATTTTGAGGGCTCTGCCTTCCCCTAAACCCCCTGCAATAGCAGTACAGATCTCTATTACACCTTCAGCTGCTCCCACCTTTCATAAATGCAGCATTATTCCAAGTTTAGCTCGCAGTGAGAAATACATTTCATTCTCCCTATAATTCCCCAGGATCTCAGTATCAGTAATTACAGCACTCCAAAACAAACCTGACAGCCACGGTGGCAGCTCTGTTTGTCAGACAGACAGGCAGCAAAGGCTCTCAGTGGCTGTGCCACATCCACTGTCAGCTCTCATCGGGCTGAGAGCTGAAAATCTGCAGCTGATGGCTTCCCTGGCTCCAGCAAACGAGTCAAGGATGTTCTTCTGACTTCCAGTCAAGTCCTCACTGGAAATGGGAGCTGCAAACACTGCCCCACAGCACTCAGATTTGGAAGCATGCAAACCTGGTACTTCTTTTAGTAAACTTACTGACATTGAAATAAAAAAGTGACATGCCAGGCACCTTGAGTCACTCTTGGAAAGAGAGAAAAAGGGTTCTAGAAAAGGTTGTAGGCACCAAACAGACAAGACAGCTTTTCTGCTTGGTCATGTAAGTTCTGGATGGTTATTTAAAATCATCCCATGTGCTCTGTTGGCAGAGCTGAGGTCACTGATGCCTTCCCTTCCTCGATGACCTGAGCTGGTGGGGATGAGAGATCAGCAGAGCTGCAGACAAAAGTGCTCCTGTGCAATGGCCCAGCACATCTGGCAGTGCCTCTGTCACACAGGAGTCCTGACTGACACATCACAATGTGCTGGGGACTTGCTCTGGGGAGGTCTGGTCAATTAAAGTGTCACTCTGAAGGAGGAAAGGAGCAAAAAAATTTTGGGAATGGGTTTTAGCTTGGGGTTTTCTGTTGGGTGGGGTTTTCCCCTCTTTCTGTACTTCCTTACCTTATCTTTATTGTAGAAGTGCAGAGTTTGAATGATAAAAAAAGGTACTCACCACCTAAGAAACGTCACTGACTTCAATCCTTAAGTATTTAATACCACAACTATACTTATGTTAATTTAATGTA